TTCACCTTCCGCGCATCCAGATTCTTTCAATCGAGGCCGCATCGCCGGAGACTGGCCGTATCCCATTCGCGATTTTACAACCGTGTAAATCCCACGGAGAGCTCCTTAATACTTCAGTGCCGTTCGGATAAACTCGTGCGGCTCGGTCCATCGGTCTTGCAGGGCCAATCTCCCGCGCCGTGCGATTTTCGTGCAACAGCTCTATAGGTATCGGACGGATATCGTTGCGGGGTATAAGCGATCGTTGTCGGCAAGACGTTGAATCCCCCGCTCGTTCCCGATTGGACGTTGCTTTATTGGACGTAGCGGTGGTTTATAGATTCCGATTTTCTCGGCGAGCTCCACGTTTGACTTTTACTCCACTTACCATCCTACTCGCGCTTTACCCCTCCAACCCGCGGACCTGCTCATCCCGCTCTTCCTTCAATCGCTTCCTGCTTCTTCCATCGAATTGCCGCATGCTTTATTCACGGCGCGGCCGAGCTCGTCTCGGCCAAGCATCCAACGTCGGAATTCGTTACGCGATCAACGCGATGGACGACTCCTTTTCCGCGATGACTCGATCGATAAGCTTGTATTGCCGATCGTTCGAGATCGATCAGACAATTTATCGTAACTCTGCAAATTGATCCCCCCCCCTCCCCGCCGCATATTGCGCAAACCTGAGAGTCTTAAGTGAAGATGTAATGTGAAAAAAGAAAAAAATAGATAAGTCCGAGCGAGGGCTAGTCTTATCGTTCAATGCACGTCCTCAAAGACGATGATAAAGATACAAAGATTGCACGGGCGTATACGCTCGTGGAAGCGGAATTACCTTCTTTCCCGGTTATAGCTCAAAACCGAAAAGCGGTTAACGTTGCCGTATTTCCACCCGGCATGAATTTACTCGGAAAAGTTATTCTTCCTTTCGCTGCAAAGAACTACTTGTGCCAATTAATTTTTTTTTTTTTCTAAAATTGCGTAACTGAAACGTAATTCATACAACGTCATTCAAAATCTACGGAATGTCTGACTGAACAAAATTTGTCAATTAATAAATCTGCTAAATGTATGCGGTACAGCTTAAAAAATCGCAAACATCCGAGATCGTAAATTTTGTCTTAAAAAAATGCGCGTTAATCACATCGACCCGTTTTATTAGCCCGCTCTTTAAATACCAGAAGGAAGCGGGGGGGAGGAGAGAAGGGAAGAACGTGCACAACTCGTTTCGCATATATTCTTCGGGCGTCGTACAGGACCGTCCCTTTGTAGGATATGCGAGCTTTAAACCTCCCGGCCGTCTATTCTAGCCACGTACTATAACTCGCCTGGAACGCGTGCGGTCCCTCAGGGCGGACGCACGAAACGTTTCTTCCCCTTATGAAATTGTAACAGAGGCAGGATTAGCATGGGGCATTGTCTCCGGAGCGAAGGGTAGATTCACGTTGTAGCAGTGTTATCGAGATCGACCCGTCTCGACCCGTCCCGAATGTATCCGAATTTCCATTCTCACTTTCGCTCCCGAAAATACGCCGTTTTAAATGTGCATCTTAAATCTCGAGAAACAGCCTTTCTATTGTTCTTATGGCGTTTCTCGCAGATTTTATTCGAACGTAACTAAACTTCGATTACCATCCGAATGGAATCTTGTGGAAAACAAGAAATGAACTCTGGACAAGTATTCCGTCACACTTCCAATGAATTCAGATTAATCGTAAGATTAATTATTATATGGTTTTAAAAAAATTTATTATAAATATATTAATTATTTAAAATGTAAATTATAATCAGCTGTATTTACGAACTCGATATTTGAACAATTACTTGACATTTTCCCGCTTTTATCATCCCTCATATCGGCTTTGCGTTTTTTCAACTTGTTCGCTTGACTTATGATATATATAAAACTAACATTTTCACGTCGATCTGACCTCATTCGGTATTGTATCGCCCTCACAGCATCCGTATAGCCTTTCCGCTTCTGGCAGCCGGACGATCATCATACATATATGTAAAATGCAAAATTGTATCATCCCTACACGCGGTATTATTCTTTCTTGCCTTCACCTTCACCTCGCGTTCACGTATCTCGCTTTCCAGTTTACCCCACGACACCATCCCCGCAGACCGAAATGCTCCAGGGAGAGAAACGAAAGAAGGGGGGCCGGGGGAAAGTTCCTGCGGCCTGCTCGGGGCCTGCCCGCGCGTTAACGTTTTACATCCACATATCGCTACGAGCGAAATTCCGTGCCCGTTAATTCTCAATGGAATCGAACTCTGTGGGTGATGGCAGCGCACCGACCACGCAATACGATTTCATTGTAACCGAAACCGAGCATTCGCATCACAAAATAACGGAATCAGGCGGCGATAAAATTTGTCAAAAAAAAAAAAAAAAAAAAATACAAATCTAGCAAAGTTCTCGGTCCGATAAATGTTTTCACATTTTGTAACGCGCACGCCGATATATGATTCATTGTTTAACGTATACGAGAGATTATATATATTATTCGTAATCGTGCAACGAGAATAAGTTATTTATCGCTGGCGCAACCGATCGTCGAAAATTATTTCGTTGTCGCTTCATCAATTTTCCCCCGAACTTCGAAAGCGCATGTGGAACGCAACTTCGTCGCTATCGTTGACACATTTTCGCGCAAGTTGCCCAGCGGAAACCCAGCATGCGGAACGTAAGTTACGTTCGTGCAAACTCTATATCGCTCCGCGGTGAACGTTCCGGAGTAACTTGGGCAGAACGGCTCGTCCGTGCCGAATAACTCGCGCGTGTACATCAATTCGCTCCGTGTATCTATTTAATGATCACGGAGCGACCCGGACGAAACGCCCGGAGGCGTGGAGTAACTATAACGCCGCGCTTCAACGTTTTCGCGTCTCCGGGTCCTGTGTGTCCAGTGACCGCATTGTCATCCACGTTAAAATTAGTTTCAACGCTACCACAATCGTCGCATCTGGCGACATGAAGACCAACGAGGAACGACAGGACGAGGGCGGAGCGGACGCCCGCTCGCTTCTCTCTTTCTCTGTCTCCTCTTTACAGGGATGGTTTTTTTAGTCTCGCGACGGGTGGTGGATTCAATGATACAAATATAATTGCATTTTCGAATTGTCGTTTCTCTCCCCATATCGAAACATCGCTTCATCGGCTTTTTTTTGCCATCTGTGTTCGAGAAATAAATTTTTCCTTTCTTTATCGATTTTCTATGTTAAACAAGAATAAACATAATAATCTAATAAACTGCTAATAAAAACGAGATTAATGTATCAATTATCTTTTCGTTGTTAATAATATCTTTTCCAAGAAAAAAAGTGCTCGCTGCCGTAGAGCGATACTCGGAATTATCTAGTGCAAGTTTCTCTCAAATAAAATGTTCCGCTGGGTGTATACATTGGTCGCTCGAAGTGTTTTGTTATGCCATTCGAGCATCCTTCACCTCTTTCACAAGGAAAGTCCGAGGTAGCCGCCTATTTTCTCGAACAGTAGAAACCGACACTGTGAAATCGCGATAACGCGTGGAAATTCCAACCGTTGTGCGAAGAGTACTTGAAGATACGAACTTCTTGCCGGAAGCTGTAGGTCGAGAGCGTAGATAGGTCGAGGCAGGTGGAGGAGCACGACGATTTTCCAATCGAGCCGCGGGGCGTTCGTTGTCTCTCCTGAAGGGAGACAAATCGACGAACAACGTCGACGATCGGATTTCGTCCCGGTCGAAGTCAGCCGAATGAGCGGGGCACCGTAGATATAGCCACCGCCAGGTGGAAGCGACTGGTCGCATCTTGTCGCAAACGGGGAGGGTTAAAAAGCAATTTTCCCTCTCCGGCCGAGAGCGTCTGGCAGCTGACCATCTCGTTCCCGGCGCAGAGGCATCGGATGCGAGATCTCGGCGTAGCGAATTAGATTCAATCGTCTCCAACGACCAAGCGCGTAGCATTTGCTAAAATTCACCCGACAGCGTTCGTGTGTACATAAAAAAAATATTTATATGGTATATGTAAAAAAGTAACGTTTTGAAAGTATGACAATGACTAAATGAAGATTGCTAGAGCTTGGCTGAAACGAAAAACGAAATATTCTGTAACTATAATAGCCTCATAATTAAAATGCCATCCATGATTGTTTTTATCTCGGTTATTTGTGCGATACGCAAATGCACTTTGCGAGCAGAGTATACGAGCTTTTAAATCGAGCCCCGCCGGCGAGGGAGAGCGTGGAAAAATCATCGTACGATTCGTTCGCCTACAATGGATCGCTTAGCCGGCAGATACGCGTCAGCTGTCCCGATGACGTCGGTGTCGTTTCGCTCGGCTATGCATGATTGACAGTTTTATGGGGACGAGCGGGAGCCCACTTTCCAAGTTACGACCGGGGGTCTGGTTTTATCGCCCCCTCTTCCCCCTGCCTCGTCCCCCTTAAAATGGGGGCCAAACATTATGCGACATTTGATGCTAATCGATACGAGGACGGCCGCGGGGGAAAAGAGCGCGTGATACGGCGGTTGTAAGTTCTGCCTGAGATTTACTGGCAAATGAATTCTTTATGTGCGGCTTTTAAGAAGAATGAATTTAGGACTTATAATCAATGTAAAGACAGTACTAAAATTTACGTTCCACCCATTTAGATTTCTTCATCAATTTTAAGACATAATTACGGCTAAAGGCTACTCTGTCCTCACATTTTAAATGCAGCTAAAACGTTCACTTTTAAAATTAAACATTTTATCGTACGTATTACGTAATTAAAAGTTGTAAACCTTGTTAAAGTTTTACAAAGTTGTTTCTGAAAGCTTCATCGTGCTAAAACACAGCGGGCGATCACGTTTTCACGTTTAAAGCTAAATGCGACTTTAATTGTGGGTTTAATTCGTTGTTCATGTTTCAAACATGAACGGTGAAACTCGATGTGAGACATTAAGGTGACGCATTAAGTTACCACATTAAAGCGCTAAACGCGTCACGGACCCAAGAAGGCATTGTGGAATGTACAAAAAGTATGGACAACTCACCTCGCAGTTGGAATGACTGATGTTACTAAGATTTAGCCTGAAGATCTTGTCCCTGAAAGCAGAAGAGGAAAGTTTCGTGTTAGCGTAACCGGTCGAATTAAGCGTGGTCACGATAGACGGAAGGGTCGAGGGGTAAATTTTCATTCCCAACGTCTGCGAGATGCATTACTCTCCGTGACTCGACCCTACCTTATCTCGCCACGGTTATGTATGGTTGTGTAGCACCGCGGCACTTTGCTTACGGCACTCCGCCACGGCGAGCGCCCGCAAACGGCACGGAATTTCTATGAGGATGGGAAAAAGGAAGGTGGGACCCGGGAAAAGTAAAGTGGGACGAGCTGCCTCCTTTCTGACCGAGTTCTCTGCATTGTCTTTTCTTTGTTCGACGGTAGCTGAAGTCACGTCGTTCTCGTACCGCGTTTGTTTTTATTAGGATTTTATTCCTCGAAAGAGATCGTCGGTTCGAGACTGACGGATAAGTAATAAGAATAAGAATCGGAGTCGACGAGTCGAAATAAACGAAGATTATTACGCAACGCGTCGTAAAAGTTCTCGTACTAAAAGTCGACGTGACTGATGCCGTTGGTTATTAATAATTTCGCATCTCGGCACTAATTTCACATTTCCACGTAGAAATGATATGTCTCACGTTTCACGTATTTCGCTCAATACAGCAGCCAGTCGCTATCAATGCGGCGCAGAAACTGCGACGATTTTCATATAAATCTCCGCGCGACCACCGCGGGCGGCAATCTGAGGTTGCCGCGTTCGATCGTACGTGAAAGGTATACGCGCTGCTGGGCGCCACCGATCGTAAATCGAATTTACCCAGTTTTCAAATGTGTGTGTTTCGCAACATTAACGCCGCCGCGCCGCATAACTTTATCCCAATAGCCATTCATCATCGCCTTTCAATAGAAATACGCAGTCGGACGGAATGCGCTCGCGGAACGTGCAAAAAAAAAAAAGAAAGAAGAGAGACCGAGAGAGAAGAAGGAAGACCTATCCCTCGGCGGTTCTCCTTTTTCATTCATTCTGTGCATCGCGCCGTGAAAAAGTAAATACCGATGTGGAAAAACAAATCCGTACTTTGGAATCTACCCGCGTCGAACTTTCGTCTCGGCGAACTTTTAGAGGGTTCAGCAGGTGGAAAGGAAACGCGACGGGAAAGGGAAGTGAAGTGTGGGGAGGGAAGGGGAGGGAGGGAGGGAGGGAGGAAAGGCGAGTATCGTCTACGTGCTGGCACGTCGCTCATACTAGCGAAAGAAAAAATTCGTAGGAAAGTAATTTGCGGGGGGCAACTCGGCGTAAAGGGCGGGCGTTGCTGTGCGAAGTCATCGCTCAGTCGCTTTGCAATCCAATTGGTAAAACGTGCGTAATCAAACCGAGAAATTACTTCGCCGTTGAAAATCGCGGAGGAAAAATTTCATTAAGATCTCATTGACACGCTTCCACGAGAAGTGGAACATTTTCTAAAAATAAAGAAAGTGTTACTTGAGAATCGGGAAAAGAATTCGGTTCAATTTAACATTTTACATCGCCTTAAGGGCTTTCCGGGGAAAGTTTAATTAAAATCTCGAGCAGTTTGCCGAGGTCGTACAGCAATTTCTTAAACTATTAAAGACGCCTTGTAGACTGCGGAAGAAATTTCAACAAATTTCATTGCTAATTATGCAAATAGGAACAAAGACTTAATTAAAGGATGGATCTATACAGCTTTCGCGCGAGACTCTAAACAATGCCGCGTATGACCATACACACGAATTGTCTGTGTTTCCGTCCGAAATAGGTCGCGGTTTGAGATAACAGCCGCACCGCTTTCCGTGTCTAGCGTAGGGTTTCACTTGTGTAATACGGACATTTTCACCGTGGGCGAGAAGGAGCCTGACGAATGCCGGGCGAAATCCGAAAAGCATCGTTGTCTGAATTTGTGGTTGTGCGTGACGGACAGCTCTGACCCGGGATGCATTATCCAACGCGTCGAGATCCACCCTCCCTGGCGTCTCTCTCTATCTCTCTCTCTCTCTCTCACACACACATACACACACTACTCCGGGGGAATACATGACAAGGGCCAGAGAAGTGGCGTTTGCAACAGTGCTATTTACCCCGACGCCTTCGGAAAGGAGATGTACGAGTATTGTATATCCGCGAGAAGAGATGGGTTTAACATAATAGAACGATTTTAATAATTCCCAGTATAAATCAACGAATGTATACACGTCGGAATAACGTTACGTCCGCGTTTCAATAAACCGCAATGCAGCTCTGACGTTTTAATACGTCACTTTTCATAAAATAATATAGTGACGGAGAATAAACGTGCGCGCGCGATAAGTAATAGGGCCGTATGGAAAAACGGATGGAAATGCGCCGCACGGTTGAAATACGCGAATTTAGCATGAATTAGGTATAACCTAATTTTTCTGTACCATTTTATCAGCTGCAGTCCGACGAGTGATTCGTTAAATCGATATACGACATCCGAAGTGCTAACATCGTCGAAAATCCGGGGGAGAGAAAGAGAGATAGAGAAAGAAATATCGGGGGGAGAGAAAAGGTTCAATTGCCACGGCTGGCTGTGCAATGCCGCAAGCCCGTGTGACCGTTTTCACCTCGCTAACATTCGCGATCGTAACTCACTTCTCTCACGCTATCTCGAGCTTTTCCCCGGTTGTTTCGGCGGGCATTGCGAAGGTGAAATCTCTCCCGTTGCGTTTCCTGCCGGAAACGGAATGGTTATTGGGGACAATTAGGAGGAAAACCGATCGCGCGCGACTGGGCGCGACGCGTTAATCCCCCCCCGGTCGCGCAGTTGCTTTCCCGCGCCGAAATTGTCGCGGTCGCAATAGAAGTCTGGCGAGAAAAACGGCAGGTGCGACCGAACGGGACGAAAATATGATGGACGAATTTCTATCTCGTTTCGCTAGACGCGCGGCAGACACGAGCCACGGAGATATAAGCGAGCTATATATATTTTTTTTTTCGTACGGCTCTCACCAGCGGCCTCCGGCTTGATAATTGGAAGCGTTCAATTAGCGTGCCTTAATTGCGGAGCGAACCGCAACGTGGGTGCCGATTCTCAAACTACAATTAATGGCTATCACCTTTCTAATTAACGAGGAACGATGCTCGCGCGTGTATCGATCGTCGCGTGCGATAACGGAGGAAAAACGGTACCGCGAAGATATGGATACAGGGAGGGAGGGAGGGGGGGCGGGCGGACACGAGGAAGGAATCGTGATCCAACGTGAGGTCACGCGAGAGCGGATCGAATATACGAAAGACCGAATGTCTTAAAATCATTTAAAAATTACGTCCACGAGATCAATGAAGATCATGAAGCTTAAACGTCTATTACCGTTGAAGAAGGAATATCGAAACGATTTTCTTTCAGACTCTTATCGGAATTCACCTAGATATTGTAGTTTCGTAGATAGATACGTATGTATATACAAGACGACGTAAGCACGTGGAACGAAGCCAGGAAACAGGAAACGTTGAAGTCGAAGTAGCCGCTTTCCTTGGGAAATGCAATTTATCGTAACTGCGCTTTTTCTTTTGTCGCTCCATATGGCGTACTCATCCCTTAGCAAAAGAGAGAAGGAGAGAGAACGAGAAAGAACGAGAGGGCAGAGTTATTTCAAAAGCGGAAGCTTTTATGCGATTGTAATGCTTTATTTTTCCGTACAGAAGTATGATTTATACCTTCTTTAATTTAATTTCTCTCTGTGTTCAAATTAATTGTTATCTCATTTCTTTTATTGTTAACAAAAGGACGAGATATTTTGTATTTCGAGTGTCAATATTAATTTTCCATTAAATAAATGTTTTACACATATATTTGTTCTCTCGACGAGAGATTAAATTGTAATCACTTTTGCTCCCTGCGTATTATATGGGCCATAACGTTGTAAGTCTTTCGAATGATTGCAAAGCGGCAAAGTCAAATGCGTCTGTCTCGACATTGACGAAAAAACACACTCGCGCGTGTTCGAATTGTGAGAGAACTTCGTAAGACGATCTGTTCCGTCTCACAAAGGGATTAAACAAGCGTCGCTCTTGCCTGCCTCGGAATTTCTTCGTATCCGCGAGCACTGGAGGGCCATCCCCGCTGCGTCTCCGTTACCGAGGCTTCGTAACATTTTGCTGGCATTTACTAAATTAAGGGGAGGGAGGGAACAGACAAAAGAGAAAGGAGAACCAGGGAGAACGTTAGCGGATAGTCGCCAAGGGTGGCGGCGACAGAAGCCGGCTGGGACCCCGAATCAAGAAATAATACTCCGCTGAGATAATGATGCGACGTCTCCCGCCCCGCGATCCGTACCCGAGTCCGACATCTAGGATCGGCCCTTTAGCTTTAACCCCCCACCCCACCCCACCCCAGGAGTCGAGTCACCATCGAGAAAACGGTAACCCAATACTCATGCGAACGGTGAACGGTCGATCGATTTAACGGATTATTATTGGTACCTTGGGAACGCGGAACTCTTCGTGGAACTTTTAATTACGGCTAGGTTGCGTGAGAGATCTGAACCGGGATATAGGAATTAAGAAATATTAATTAAATATTAATAAAAATTATTAAATAATACGCGATAAATCGAAGAAAACTTAGTCCGGTTTGTAGAACGATTCGTAAAGAGCTGATAATGTGAGTGATTTCGAGTTAGCTCATCGTCTGTGATACGCATATTAATATCATAATAAATATACAATTTCGAGTGCAATGTGTAAGCCAACGATGAAATAGCAAATTCATTAATTCTGATCTCTGTTGACACGGCGTTTTTCATTTCCTCTGACAACCATAATTGCCGGGATCGTCAGTTTCGATTTGTATTATATGTTTACTTTTCTTGCCGTTTTCTTCCACAGCTCAAAGGCTCCGGAGTAAATTGCCTTTCTGCAAAATGAAACATTTAGAACGAGAGGATTCTGATCATCTTCTATAAAGCGAGGCGGACAAGTAAATAAGTCCGTTTTCACGAATAATAATGACAAAAATAGCAAACAGAAATGTGCATCACAATCGTGAGTTAAAACAGCTGAATATGGAAACAATGAAAACGTTTTAAATATTCTCTCTCTCTCTCTCTCTCTCTCTCTTTATCCTGCGCAAATGTGTGTGAGGCGCGATTTCATATCATCTATGCGACGATAATTATTACCTCGCCGAAAGCTGATATCACGGGTAATCCCTCAAAGTTCAGATTATCCGATTACTCGATGACATCGGAAAATTCAATCAAACGGCACGATCCCCGGCGTTTCGGTGCACGTTGTAGAATTTTAATCACAGCAATCGTATAAAAATCCGCGGCGTGGCACGTACATACGTAACACGGGTCCCGGGACGCGCTGACGTAATACCTCTGTTCTCGGGCTTTGACGAGGGAACGTCGCAACTTTTCCCGGGGATTTTCATGGCGTGACATTTTATTACGGAGCCGGGGAAAAAGTTCTACTTACATAGCTCCGACGTATAGGGCATCCCTCTTACTGTCCAGGTAGAGCGTCCTGTAGTACAGCATGCCGCAGCTGAATTCCCGCACGTGTTCTGAAAGCAAAAGTAAATAAGGGGATTAAATGCGACGTCGTAGTGCGCGGCGAAATTCATTTTCCGTACCGCGGAAACGCGGCGGGTCCGCCGCCGCCGCCTCCGTGGCCGCGTTGTCGCGACCGCGCCGCGCCGCGCTGCGCGCTCGCTGGATCGTTAGATTTTCATTACGACTTTTATAATAACGGCCGGATAGAGTAAGGCGCCGCCCTACCGCCTGCCGACCTCGCCGGTAATCCGGCTAAAGTCAACTCTGACTTATCTCTACCGTAAACTCGTCGGAATTACACGGCACGTAACGCGCGCTCGACATTTTCGTTCCATCGGCCAGCGCGGATTCGCCTGAAATCCGCGCCGTGGAAACATCGAAGATCAACTCGCGCGAGGAGCCGCATGTTAATATTAGCGAATGAAGCGCCTCACGGGGGAAGAACTTTTGCAGTTGTCTTCGTTGTAAATGTGAGTTCTTGCGCTTTGGAACAAATTCTGGAGCAAAGAAAAGTATTTAACTCTCCATGGGTTTCGCGAGGCTTTGTGAAAATTTATGAAGCGTACGATTCGTTCCTTTGCAATTTCAGTAAAAAAGAAAAATAAATAAATAAAAAGAACAAGAAAAATAAAACAAAGAGAAGAATACTTTTCGCATACTTTCGTGATAACTTTTCGAACCGTTTAAGAACGTTAAGTCAAATCGGTGTTTGCACGTTGTCCTAAAACGCGTGAAATTCACGGCCCTGCCGTTAACCAACGCCAACGAGAAGGAACGGCCGACGGTGGCGGCTATTGCCAACTCCGTCTCTTCCTCTCCTTCTTTTTATCTCATCGACACTGATCTGCTTAACATATGAAAGAAAGCAGCCCCTTTCTAAATATACTCGTTCCACTCCGAGCTAACAGAGCGCGAACAATACTATATTTTATACGGTATCAGAAGGGGCCGACGTGGAATGAAAGGGGTTCTTACTCTGGAACAGAGCTACTCTTCCTGCGTATCTATTCCCTTGTTCACCCCCTCCCCTCGCCCCTCCTCTGTCTTTTCCCTGACCTCTCGCCTTCTCCTACGTATCTATTCGCTAACCCGTCGCGTGTTCTCTCTCCTTCACGCGCGCGATTGCGGGGGATGCAGAAACTCTTGCGCGATCTTGCTTTATCTCCGCGGAACGACCGACGTTACGCCACGGTCCCTCTAATGTCGGACTTATTCAAAACCAATGTGCCACCCATAGGTCGTTAGATCGGCCTAGATAGACCACGGCTAGACTGCGCCCCCCCCCCCCTTGAGGGATTTCGAAATTTATATTCACTCGCGCGTGCACGCCAAATGCTCGTTTTTTCAACAATTTCTCCCTTTTTCAACAGTTTCGTCTCGAAATGCGCTCTCCGCTCGCGTTTCCATCGAATATGTAGATACATTCCACGGTAGAGTTATTTCGATCTTATCGTCGTAATGAAGTCGTATCGCCCACTGCGCCCACGGAAGACGATATCCGCACCTGCTGCTCGTTGTATCCGAGTTAATGTAACTGTTGCATCCTGGCGGTCGCGCGCGGGCGCTTCTATTTCTGACCCGCGGATAAAATTGGCCGCGTCGCGCGACTCGCACGATTGTTAATGGGATAAACGTCGCCGCGCGACGTAGGTTCTATTTAGGTTCTCTCGCAGAGCTGCAGACAGCTCTTTGGTGCAATGTTATTTATTAAGCGTGCAGAGCGGTAAAGAGAAATATGCTCAGAATTGTAGTTATAACGTGTCTCGCGTTGCAGCCACTTTTGTATGTTCATTCAGCAAAGCTATTCTTGTAAGATGTATGCAGTCGACCTAGTCAACGAGTTATTTACACGACCATTCTCACCTCAGCACTTCGTTAAACAGTACTCGCAATTAGTAACTTTCTATGGTTTTACAAAATTCGCCATCTCGCATAATTATTCCATAATTGTTGCATTATTTTCGATTGCATCGCGTGCCAATATTTGTTTAATTAATTATATACGATACGTGCATAATATAAATAATTAATCGTTCAATATTGATGCGCCCGAGAAACGTATGGCATCGCCGCCGCCGCCGCCGAGTTCTCCGACAAATATTTACCGTCGTGTAATTTACCGCCATTAAAAGACGTCCACGCGTACGTGCGCAAACACACTGCCTACTTATCGTAAATTACTTGCAACGCACTCCCATAAGAACGTGCGCTGAAACTTCGTGGGACGATACAATCGCTAATCGAGGTTGTTAACGGTGCGTGATAACGCCCTAACGACCCTAACTGCGGAAACCATCCATTTGAATTCGGTGGTTCCGGCAACGGCCTAATACCTTTACAGTATTTCTTAATTAAGCACCCCGAGTAGGGTACCGGCGACCTAGAATCGTTACGAATCTTGCTATCGCGGCCATTATATCTGATAAAAAAAAAAAGAAAAGGTGGCTACAAAAACGGGGTAGGTCGCGAAAGCCAGACCATCGCAAATATATGTATATATAGACGTATGCACGTATATAAATTGTTCTATATTTCGTTGATTCAAGAGCCAAATGGTTATCCAGGCTATTTGTTATCATTATACGCACAATATATTTAGAAGACGCATGCAATTGCCTTATAAAAATAAGAACATAGTTAGCTAATGAGCTGTTTATCAGGCTGAAAGCCTGAATAAGCCTGAAAGGAAAAGCTAGAAATTATTTTGAGAATAAACGTCGTTTTAAATTCTACCACCGAGATAAATTTAGGAGTACACGACGTTTTTAGCTATCGTTGACACGTTGATTTAAATCCCACCAACTTTATGGATCTCAATATGTAACGAGAGGACGATTCGCTCTTTAAATCCTCTCTATATAACATTCGCGTCATGCTCCAATTCCCTAGTCTTGTATACATCGTTTTTGCATCTAAATGCATTTCCCTCGAAAGCTTTTAATCGCTGTTTGCAAAACATCCGGCTTCGGTTCAAGCAATAAATAATCCGACTTTCTGGAAAACTCATTTGATATATCCTACAGTGTTATTTTATCACGTATATCTCATCAATGTACTTTAATTTTCTTCCAATACGTACGGCCGAAAAATAAATTCTATCAAAAATTTAATCGATCCTTTTCTTTCTGTAAGATAAAATCCAAGTAAGATAATTGCAATATATCGGTACCTATATTTTAGTGCAAGAACCGAATGCTAATTAAATGCTCACAAGAATATCTCATATTTTCAAATATATTTGCCTTTGATATTATATTTAATTTTCTATTAACACAAATGTGCAAATCACTTTTCCGCGAATTTATTCGCAAATAATGCATTCTGGTAAATGGGATTCAATAGAGATTATGAGTTGATAAACGCTGAACGGAATTTTCCACCAGAAAGCAAATGAGGACAAAAAATGTTCAATAAAATAGTCGTGTGAACAATCAAGGACTTTTAGAAATTTTATTCTTGTCGTGATACCTTTTGAGATCGCTTCGCATTCTCGTGAATCAATTTTAGGTCGATGTTATTCAAGTTTAAGAAGCTCAGTCGCGAACATGAGCACATATATACGTATCTTCGTGCTCTCGTGAGAAAAATCAATGCGGTCAGATTACGAGGTCGCTGAAATACAAAATCTTGAGGTGATATTTTCGACAGTACCTCGAAAGGGCACGATATTATAAAACCAATGGTTTATTTTTTTGAAAGATTTGAATCGTAGATTTGACCTGCCGCGCGTCGAGATTTCCGTCGAGATCGATGTTAATACGAAGCCGCACAATCGATTTTCGTGTTCGCAGATGATCTTTATGGCGGATTTATGCAGCGTATCTCTTATCGGCAGCCAAGCGAATCCTAGAGCACGTGCAGAACCAATACGATTCTCTCCCTATCACGTGCACGAAAGGAAATGTGAGACTATAAAGAGAGAGAGCCAGAGTTGCAATTGAATAAAGTGAGGCCGGTCGGGGCCTAACTCCGGCCCGCACAATGGCAGATTAGGCGCGCGATCATTTTTTACATTCGTCTGGCTTCGTTCCAGCTGACACCGGCATATGGCCGCCAAAGATTACGAGGGTACCGCCGCCGCCGTCGCCGCCGCGGCCGTGTCCAATTTCCAACGTTATTATTATTTTAATCCCTCGAGCCCGAGGCGAGGTGCCGCGCCCGTACCCGCGGCGGATAGCGAAAATATTCTCCATCGCGGTAATTTCAATTGCAAAAGCGCCCTTTTTAGCTCCCTACGATCCATCTCGGCCACGGCACGGGTATCCACCGCACTGACTTTGAAAAATGAGATACATCCTTTGCGCGATGCACGACGCAAACGATCAAATAGATTTCATTTCGTATAACACGCAAAAAAAACGTATTACGTCAGGAACTTTTGTTTAAGGTTAACAAATTATCCGGTAACAGTAAGATGCATTGCGACACTTTTGCGATTCATATCAACTACCACGAGTTACGCGCGAGTCATTTTTAACAGATATATTCTCTGGCAAAGACGAGTACATTTTTGTTGCGCGGAGTATTTACTTTTTAATTGCGCCAGCGAACTAAATAAAACTTGTTGTTTCCGATCGAAGGAACAAATGGCAACAAAATTCAGAACAAGATAACACGATACAACAACGAGAGGCGGGGAGAAGGGTTGAAAAAAAAGAAGGAGGGAAGATCGAATGTCTCTGGAGTTTCGATTCGCAATCGCTCTCCGGTCAAGGCACGATCATCGCGTGGGATAGAACCTGCTGACGCGCTTTCGAGGACCTTTTATCCGGGTGTGAAACGCGTCTTCTATCCTCCCTGTGTCTGTCAGGGAGTTGGTTCAGGCGAGGGGGTCAAACTAGGCGTGTGTATGCGCACATACTCGACCACCTCGGCCGCGGCTCTTGACAGAATTGACATGTTTGGAACTCGTCTACTCCGCTTGCGGATTCGCCGGACCTCGACACGACAATACACTCTTCTCGAAACCGAAAGTCCCGGCGCCGAGCGCCGCCGGGCATTGTGCAAACTT